TAATAATATCTTTTAGACACATAAAGCAAATAGCCCGTAAAAATTAGCATTTTCACACGTCTGGTCCCAACATTATGTTACCGCACAGCATTGGCTATAAAAATGGCTACATATCTTACAGCAATATAATTTTCTTTCTTTTTTATTTCAGAGTTGCATTAATTAGCGCTTAGATATTTATTTTTCTTCTATCTCGTGTCTTCCTTCTTTAAAATTTATATATTTTGTTGTAATTGTCAGCACAAATTGTAATGAATATAAAATTAAACATACGTTAACATTTTCCTTGGCTGAATGTACTTTTTAAATTCATTTTAATAAATTGCAATCATGTTGTAACCTCCTCGAGATAAATTTGATATGTTAGTCATTTTGTCATCCCTAATTGTCACCTCAATATATCTGATCGTCTTTATCCGACACTCACATGGCAATCCTTGTCTTGACCAATTTTCATTGAATCTGAGACTTATCATATTTTATTATTCTCAAATATTCTACTTCAAGGATGATCGACTAATTTTACTACATGTATCGTTATTGGAGCTAATCCAGACCTTCTATTTGATGCTTAGCAATAATTAGTGTTGAAACATCGTTGATTGAAGTTTTAACGATCCGATTTCAAATTACGAATCTTACAAATTACTTCCTGATTTAAAAACAGTTGTATTGTTCTCAAACATTTTGTTTCAAAACTTAAAAGTTTTAGAACCTTACAAATTATTCTTCTTCTTCTTAATTAACTTTATTATGGTCCATCACCTTATTGCTATTTAAAGACCGTTCACAATTCCAGGTAGTTTAATTTAGAAATATACACAAAGAACAATCAATAAAATCCAGTCAACTCCAAATGGTTGACAGAAAACATGCCCGCGATAAGTCAAAACAACAAAAAACCATCACTAGGCAAAAAATTCCATCTTCAGTTGTCGATGATCCAGATCCCTTGACAGTTCTTATTGAAATTCAACTTGTGATATTCCAAATAGATTCAAATTTTTGTTATGTCTCGATTGTGATCTGTCAATGTAATTAATATGTTCTGCTGTATTCCGAGATGATCGATTCCTGTTTGTCAATGTTGATTTGTTGAAATCCAATTGACGATAATCCGTTGTATTCCAATAATATTCAATATGTCTAGGTTATGGTTATGATAGAACCTTCTTGTCCACGATTTTTGGTAAAACACAAAAAACCCACGTGAAACAATTGATTCTCCTCACCGTTGATCGTGATTTGTCAATGTAATTAAATGTTCTTTGGTATTCCGATGATGATCAATTCCGTTTTATCTAGATTATGTGCAAAATTTGCACATTTTTTTCCAATTTCAATTTATATCCCACCTTATAAATTATTTAATTTAAAGACATTAAATTAAATTAAAACATTTGTAATATTTTCAAACAGTTGAAAACCAAAACTTCTTTAAATCATGAGATTCTTTGTAAATCAAAAATATATCTCCTAATTCCAAAGCTCCATTTAAATCCACAAAGAGGATATTTACTGATAATCTCCACATTTTTAATAGCAAGCCGGTGTACAAATTAATAGAAGGAGGTTGAAAATGCACTAAAATAAATTTATGACTTCACAGGAATGCGTCTTAATTGAAGAAATTTGCAATAATTTTTAATCTCATCTTAATTTTCTTTTTTGGCATTTCTCATGTAAATTTTCCTTGCTTGCTGTCGACTGGCAGTTGATTCTTTCCTTTTTTTCTTCGAAAATATGCGAAAAAAAGAGTCACTCAATTGTGTATTATAGCTACAGAAGAAAAGCCTCTCGGGAAAATCATTTTTTCCCGGGTTTTTCTTCTCATATATGAGAAAACGTAAAGTTTTTGATAGTAGTGCTGTATATTTTTTTTTCCTTCTCACTGAGCGCTGTGGACGAAAGGTCTTTTGGGATTTCAGCCAAGAAAATATCTTTTTCGTTACGATCGCACACTTGCCTTTGCTGCTACGGTGTATATCTACAGTTGTATTTGTTTATTGTATTTTCACTTGATGTAAGAAAAACTTTTTCTTTTTTTTTCATGAAAATTTTCGTCAATTTTTCTTCGTCGTTTCATTCTTTCGTTGACCACTAAAAATATTTGAGTCTAAATTCACGATCAGTTGTTGTTGATCTTCTCGATTGTGCAAATCTAAAAGAACCATCCCATACGACTGGTGGTGGTGTACTTTTAGTTGATTTCTAACGGGCCTCCTATCAAAAGGTCCCTTTTTTCTCTCCGTTAAGTGTGTAGTTAATTATTTAATGTCAATCGATAAGTGAAATATTAAAAAAAAAAACATTTATCAAATAATTGTAAGTGCTGCCTACAGAAGTTTATAAAGTTTAAAGAAAGAAAAAAAAAATCAATCAATAAGATTTAAGAATAAATAAATAAATCATGAAAATAATGATGAAAAAGAAAAATAATAAGAATTGAAGATTGATTTATTTTGATCTAAATGATGAACTCCTCAAATTATGTTCGGATTTGACTGATTGAATCAAAAGAAATAAAGTCGAAAGTGAAAAAATAAGAAAATTTATGAAAAATGATTGAAAAATCTCGGAAAAAACCAGATGAAAGATTAATACTAATAATAATTTGTGATCATAAAAAAGAAGCAAACGAAATGAGGATAAAAGATACTTTATCGAATTTCACTTGTACTGCTGCTGCTTGCTACTTACTAGTTCCCACTCACTTATAGACGTAATGCCGACTAAATGGGATTATCTAAGACAATTTCTTCTTCTTTTCTTCTTCTATGTCGTCACTCTTTTCCGTTCCCGTTCCACGTGTGAATAATTGAAAATTGAATTATGGATTTTATGGACAATGATTATTTGTTGTATGTTATTAGGTAATATATGAAAGTGATACTATTTTAAGAAAAATAAGAAGAAAAGAAAGAATTAGCTCCGTAAGTAAATGTAAAGGAATAAGAGTTTTTTTTTTGAGTATCTATATTTAACCGACACAGCAGCTATTAAAAATAATTTTCAAGTTTTCCTCTTTCTATTTTAATAATCATCTTTTTTTTTCATTTTCATTTTCTTTCCTTTCGCTCACTAAGGTTAGGTATAGCGAAAATATTTAATTATAGAATTGAGCGAGAGAAATGAGTATTGACTGATCTGATGATCTGCCTGGCAGTGAATTTTTTCATGCCTGCCCCATAATATTTGATACACAAAAAAAAAACTCGAGAGGATTATCTCGTCTGATTCACGATACTCATAGGTCTCTATCCTTGCCAAAGTACATTAATGATCATCATTATTATAGTCAGGATAGAGAGTAAGACACACATTAAATGTGCTTGCAGTGCCTACGATTTTCTCTCAATTTTATTTTTAATTACCTGAGATTTATTTTTAACTACAAGCTTTTTTATTACGTTTCGACTAAGGCCTTTGATCCCTCATGCTACCCTCAATATTTCTCATTCTCTCCTTGTCTCAGCTTGTAGCTTGTTGATTCTCTCATACAATATTGCATAAAAGTGCATTTGATATAAAAATATCAATTCATTTAGACTTTGACTTGTTTATACACAACATGCTAGCTAGCTAGCTAGCCAAAACTTACTACGTATCTGTCTCCACATGTATAGTTTATTGAGAAAATAAAAGGCACGATTAGAGATTTCTTTCTTTAAATATCATAAATTAGACTTGATGATTATCGTCCAACGGACTTGCTAAAAGGGAATTTGGATATAAAAAGAAGTCTGTTGGAAATTTGTACACATGTACAAATATTTCTCTTTCTTTATTTTACGCACGATATTGCTGAAAAAGAAAATCGTAAAAAGAAAATAATCAGTGAAATATTTTTCCAATGTCTCGAAGAGGACGACGATTGCTTGCTTTCAATTAATGATGCCTTATTTTTTTTTCAAACAGCTGTAATTAATGATCAGGAAAATTTTTATTTGATTGAGATTTATGGTCGTTTTGTAATGAGGATAGGGAAAAATCGCTTCAATAAAAATCATAATTAAAATACTTCGAGGTGTACATCCTCGAAAACTTAATCCTTATGAATAATTTGAATTTAATTTTTTAACAAACTTTTGAGATTTGAATTTTATGGCTCAAAAGCATAAAAATTTCAAAATAAAAATGTCTGCTAGCGAATTAATATTTCTTAATTATATACACCAATATACACGAAGCATTTTCACACCAACTGTATTTTTCTAAGAAAATTCTCAATCATCTCAGGCCGTAAATCATCATAATTTTTGCAAGAAATTCACGTGAAATTAAATAAACACATAAATCTTTATGGCAAATACAATTTTAAAGAGATCTTATTCATTCTTTCCATTTCTCTTGCTCCTTAAGTGAGGAAAATTGCAATTAAATCTTTATCTAAATTGACTTAAATTATTCTCAGAAATGAGTTTTTCAATTTTATTAATTAAGAGCAGGCAGCTTGTATGAACGATGAAAATAAAATCCCTTTGAAGAGTGCCATAAAAATCAACTGATTATCCACAAAACTATAAATATTTGAAGATTTTCTGCGTCATTGGCATTATTCATTAATTTAATCGCACGTGAAAGTCTTCATTAAACTTTATTGAAGGACTCAACTGTCAAAATTCAATTTGAAAATAGGTTTGAGCAACTGTTATGTTGCTTAAATTCCATTTATTGGTCTAATTTGTTATTTAAAGGCGCTAATATGATAATTGAGATGGAATTTGACAGAAGTTTCTAGAAGTTTTTTCGGCAGCATGGCATTTAATTTGTTAATTAAGCTATAATATTACCAAGACTTTTAAAAATAATAAAAGAAGAATTTGAGCTTGAATATGCTGTAATCAATTATTATAATTATAACAAGGACATAAAAGTTTAACGAATTAAGCTTGAACTTAACGGTTTTTAGCAATTAATTTTTTGAAAAATTTAGCTATAGCAAGGGGCTTGTAACTTTTGTTGATCATATAATTGGCATAATCTGTTTGTTCCACTTTCATGTATATTTTTTTACCTAGATTCTTGTCAATTGTTTCCTTGAATGCTGTATTAGCAGTTTAATGACAAGACTCACAGGATTATTATTGTAAATTAACTTACATTAGCAATAAAATGATCAAAAGAAGTGCCACAAAACAGAAATAAAAAGCGTAGCCCGGTAAATTGTGCAAGAAAAATCGTAAAGCGCTTTGCTCGAAGAGGTATTGCTACTCTTGTTCATGTATATATATAGAATCATCGTAAAATTTGTAGTAATTTATTCTCTTAAATTTATTTATTTTAAAGTTAAAACACGTTAAAATAAGATTAAGATAACACAATTAAGATAGGGTACAGCTGAAAAGTTATCAAGATTTATAGTAAATTGCTGAAAAACCACGTAAAAAGTAAGATTTCTTTATCCATAAAAAAATTACAGAAGTCCTCGTGTTATTGATCGAGGGACTTAAGCGCATTTTTGTGTTAGCGATCAGTATTTGATTATGTAATTATTTTGCGTTCATTTACAGATCATGAGAAGATTAGAAGATCATTAATTTTAGTGTAATTAACAAAAAGTTACAATGAATGCTTATATAGAAAGGATTATTATTTAACGGTCAATAAATAATTTGAAATTTTGCCGTTAAAAGTTGCACTACGAAAATATTAATTATAGTATAATTAAACAATTTGTTGCAATAAATTTCCATACAGAAAGGGTTTATCATTTAACGGTTTTTTTGTAATTCAAATTTTCTAAAGGTCAATAAATAATTTGAAATTTTCCCGCTATAAGTTGCACTACGAAAAAATTAATTATAGTATAATTAAATAATTTGTTGCAATGAATTTCCATACAGAAAGGATTTATCATTTAACGGTTTTTTTTAATTCAAATTTTCTAACGGTCAGTAAATAATTTGAAATTTTCCCGCTATAAGTTGCACTACGAAAAAATTAATTATAGTATAATTAAATAATTTGTTGCAATGAATTTCCATACAGAAAGGATTTATCATTTAACGATTTTTTGTAATTCAAATTTTCTAACGGTCAGTAAATAATTTGAAATTTTCCCGCTATAAGTTGCACTACGAAAAAATTAATTATAGTATAATTAAATAATTTGTTGCAATGAATTTCCATACAGAAAGGATTTATCATTTAACGATTTTTTGTAATTCAAATTTTCTAACGGTCAGTAAATAATTTGAAATTTTGCCGTTAAAAGTTGCACTACGAAAAAATTAATTATAGTATAATTAAACAATTTGTTGCAATGAATTTCCATACAGAAAGGGTTTATCATTTAACGGTTTTTTGTAATTCAAATTTTCTAACGGTCAATATAATAATAATTTGAAATTTTCCCGCTATAAGTTGCACTACGAAAAAATTAATTATAGTATAATTAAATAATTTGTTGCAATGAATTTCCATACAGAAAGGATTTATCATTTAACGATTTTTTGTAATTCAAATTTTCTAACGGTCAGTAAATAATTTGAAATTTTGCCGTTAAAAGTTGCACTACGAAAAAATTAATTATAGTATAATTAAACAATTTGTTGCAATGAATTTCCATACAGAAAGAGTTTATCATTTAACGGTTTCTTGTAATTCAAATTTTCTAACGGTCAATATAATAATAATTTGAAATTTTCCCGCTATAAGTTGCACTACGAAAAAATTAATTATAGTATAATTAAATAATTTGTTGCAATGAATTTTCATACAGAAAGGGTTTATCATTTAACATTTTTTTGTAATTCAAATTTTCTAACGGTCAATAAATAGTTTGAAATTTTCCCGCTATAAGTTGCACTACGAAAAAATTAATTATAGTATAATTAAATAATTTGTTCCAATGAATTTCCATACAAAAAAAGTTTATCATTTAACGGTTTTTTGAAATTCAAATTTTACAACGGCTAGAAATTTTTTGAAATTATAGAGGTAATATTGAAATTATAGAGGTAAAATAAAATTTGAGCAGGTTACACTGAAAACAAAACAAAAATTCATTAATTATAGCATAAATACACTGTTTTAAGATTTTTAAATGTCCGGCGGGCCAATAACTCGATATAACGGAACTAATGCAAAAAACTAGAACTCTCTACGATGTCTAGATTAAAAGTTTTTCTTAGCGGCCGACCAGCCAGCCGACCAGCCGACCAGCCGACCAAAGTGCGTTATTAAGCTACCTTTTTGAAACAAGTTTCAAAAATGCGCTAAAAATTTCTGTGTCAAATCGAAAAAAAAATTTTGTTCATCTCAATGAAAATTGATTAGTGAAAATCATTAATGAAACTTGAAATCAAATGTCCTACAAAAGTGATAAAATTTGAGAAAGCAAGGTCTTAAATGCATTAAAAGTGAATATCCAGGCTGAATAAATTTCACAATTTGCTGATTCTTAATACATACTTTTTTTTTGCTATTGACAATGACGTGTACTTTAAGTGAGTGGAAATAAGTGCAGAAAAAGAATACATATATAAAATAATCAGAAAGAAGGAACGAAAAATAGAGCTTTTAGGTTATAAAAATCAATTTTATTTAAACAAAAATATTTAAACAGAACGAAAAATTGCTATTTGTGAGTGATTTTGGCAAAATGTTTCTGTAAAAAAATGCAGCAACAGCACGAACGGCAGTGATTTCATATTATAGAACATATATTAATTTCCGATTTTATTTCTTTCGCAATTAAAAATAATAATCTGAAATTAAATCGAATTTTCTCTTTGTTTTGTGCTTTGTCATTATTATCGATTCCTGTAGAATAATTTGCATCTTAGATTTACGACACAAAACCATTAAACATGGAAGACTCGCATTGCAAAACATCCGAAGAAGTGTTGAAATTCTTCAACACAAATGATGAATTAGGATTAACACCAGATCAAGTCAAACAATATCAAGCTAAATATGGACCTAATGGTGAGTTATAACTCTATGACTATAACTTATTTATCACCCTTTCCAACAATTCCGTTGTCGTTAATAGCTGATAATACAGCTTTTTATTTTTCATAGCCATCGTCATCTATTTGATTTGTGCATTTTCCTCATCTGCTCTGCAATAAGTAGCAGAAAAATGGGGGTAATAAGAAGGATAGAAATGAAAATAAATTTCAAATGTTGTTGACTCCAACAAAAAACATCCAAGTGTTGAGAAATTGTGTGTTGATGAAAAAGTAAAAATGTAAACTCATTAAAATTTATGATAAGATGTATGTAAACAAAGAACCATCGCCGTGCATTCCTCCCGACCGACTTTACTTTGTATTTTTTTTTTTTATCAAAACTGCAACATTTTAATAGAGTTATCTAATGACAATAAAAAAGTGAGCATCTTAATTGCGAGTGATAAGACATTGAGGATATAAATATTTTAGACAAAGACGGTGCCTCGATTTCAGTTTCATTATTAGTCCACGTCGGAATTAAAGTGTCGTACGAGGAAGAACCTTTTTAATTCTTATCACTTAAAGTCCGCACATGTGAATTTGTTGAAAAATAAAAATTGACTATAGAATTTCGTGCCTTTCTAATTAGATTATTCCCTACAATTACGCGTGATGACGTGTGTCTGTGTGAATAACTTAAATGCTTTAATTATAGAGCTAAAAATTTATTAAAAGATCTTTGCGTAAAACTGTTCAACAGATATATTCATGATTATCATAAATTAATTCAGTGTACTATTAAGGTAATTGACATTGGGAAAATTGTGCATTTCCATTTCGTCTGTCGTCAATGAAACTTTTTATTTTATTTTAGATTGTTAATTGAACAGTCAAGCATAGCCAATATTTCATAAGAAACTATGTAACACTTTCAAAAATTAGAAATGTGAACAGCACACGGCAACTTCTTATCAGAGAAAATGAATTTTTTTTGTGTGCTCAAAATGCTATTTCACGTTTTTTGTTTTTTGACTCTTAATAGGTTTTTCTCCACTTCTTTTATTTGCCGATTCCGATTGAACAGTAAAGTAAGAAATAAGAAATATTCGATGCTTTATACAAGGCTGATTTTGCGATTAAATACACAGATGAGAGTCGAATATATATATAGATACAACTTAGAAATGAAAAGAATACGGCTTTACGATAGACAAGCAAATCTTTATAACTCTACACTCTAACTGTGCTTCCAATCCAATAAATGTGACGTCAATCGAGACTTTTTTCCGTGACGTAAAATAAATACGACTATATATTTGTCTAAGGTCTTTATTTTTTACGACTTTAATGTATATCGAATGTTTAATTTAATATTTTTGCTCGCGTATTATCAGCGAGTACACGAGATTCATCCTTGAATCATCTCCCTTACCTTGCCTGACTCCATTAAGAAAACAGAGAAGGAAAAAAAAAAGAAAAATTGTAAACGTAGATTGTGTTCATGAAAGCAACAGATTTGTGCATGTGAAACCAGACAATCTGAATGAAAATTTATACCCCTTTTCGAAAGTGTAGCTTTTATAGGGAGCTCATATGTAAATCAAGCGTCAGACTTAGTTGTTCTAATTTCAGTTTATTAAAAAAAATCTTAATTATAGTACAAGCACGTGCCTTAATATGATGGAAAAAAAATTCAATTAATTTTGTTGCTGTAGTAGGAAGCATGTTTAAACAAAATATAAATCATGGATGTTCACTTTTCAATATACTAATACTGTAAAATCCCTTTAACTTTCCCATCTTTCTCTATATTAACTAAATTACCCATAGTTTGTGTCCTCACTTTGTACGTCTGCGTATATGTCACCAGACTCGTCTAGATGACACGTAAACTTTGAAGTATTCGTCACAAAGACTTTGTAATTTAATTTAAATCTTTAATGGGAAATGCACTTTTATCGGCCACGTCTTACAATATCTTTTTTGGGGAGATTTTAACAGAAGAAATTCACTTAAATGTAACTTTTCACACTTGCTGACTTCCGTGTCATGTTTAAATCATCATCATCTCCTTTTGTATATTTGAAAAGTGACAAAATATTTGGATGTCTGCAACATTTGAAATAAGTGTTTTCATTCTCACTTCAACCGACCGGAAATTATTATTGTAAAATAACTGATGATGTACGAGCATAAACAATCAGCAAAGACACCTTTTGATCCTCATAAATTTTTCGATAGTTTAGAGACTCGAGTCAATAAATGTTTGTTCAGCCGACGTAACTCTAATTAAATCATTCATTTGCTCAAAAGTAGGTTATTGCTGAATATCTCAAAACAAAAAAATCATCGTGTGTACTGTGTCTGATTCACATCTCTTTCTCATGCCCATTTAGTTTGATAATGAAATTTAATTATCTATTTGCATGTGTTCTCGGTGCGTCATATAAACTGACTGACTGACTGTCGTGTAGATTAGAGACTAGTAAACCACAAACTTAGCTGACGAATATTATATTCGCACATGCACACATACAAATGTATTGATTAAATCATTGCAACGACCTATCTTAATAATTTAAACCTTTTACCTCAACTTATTTATTAACATGTAGCTACTAGTTTACTAAATTGTTAATGACTAATCTTTTCTTTTACGGTATATTTACAGAACTTCCAGCAGAGGAAGGCAAATCAATATGGCAATTAGTGCTCGAACAGTTTGACGATCTTTTAGTTAAAATTTTGTTATTGGCTGCTATTATTTCATTTGTAAGTATATAAATAATTCATTAAATCTTTTACTTTGTTTCATTACTTTTAGTTACATAACTTCCTTCTTTTTCAATTCGCTTCCCTGTCGCTCTCTCTCAATGAAGAAAAAAAGAATATTTTTCGTTTGATGAAAATAAAATGCCCCCGAAAAATTATATTTTAAGAAATCTTTTCCATCTCATCATACTATGTCTATGTGTTCTCATCCTTGTGATCTCGTCCGAAAGAAAAATAAGACTTTTCTTCATGCAAAATAAAAAGCATGTATTTAAGAAAGACACATCTCTCCTTACGAGCATTACTCACTCCGTTCCTCGATCTATCTTGACATTTTATCATTCTTGTACACATTTGTGCGTAGTTTTCTCACACACAGCTACCGTGATCGTCGTTTTTGCTGATGATATTCATCTGTTCGCGACCGACCACTAAGAAAAATGAAATGTATAAGTAGATTTTTTGTAGGTAGATGAGTAATGCGCATTTTAATACCCTGATTGATCGAAGGATTAATTTACAAGTAAATCTCATGCAAAGTGAACTGTCAGCTGTTGACTTTTAAGACAATTTACATCTGCTTGTTAATGGACTTTCATAATTTCCTCTGTGTGATTTGATAATAACCAAGGAATATGATATAATTCTGTGAATGATGGTCCATCTTTAAGATTCTTTAAAGGAAATTATCATCACTTTTCTAGTAAAACACTTTGTGACAGCTGCTGTAAAAAGTTTAAACACAATATATGTGGATACTTCCTTGTGTCTATAAATACACCAGCATCATTCTTGTTACTTAATAACTATTTTGAGGAATTTTCATATTCATAACAGTTAGAAATTAGTAATTTTTGAGCAATCAGCAATCTGCTTTGAGTAGATTCAGTTTGAGTTCATAAAACCCGAAACCGCAACTTTAACTCTATATTACAATTTACAATAAATGTGTTTATACAACTGCACAGCTGACAAAACTTTTTAAAATAATCAAAGAAGAATTTAATGTTTTAATTACATTACAAAAGCTACAAAGAATACGGAAAAATCTTCCAGCAAGACAAAACGATTCCAACCGCATTTCCTAATTTCCGAATAACATTTTGGATTTCGTAAATGATTATTTCTTTCTTTCCTTTTTGTTTGAAATAATAAAAGACTGAATAGAGAGTACGGGGGTATGTGGTGTATTTATAGAATATTATTTTTAAAAAGCAAAAAAAAAAATACCATGAAAAAGAAAATTGATGATAATCATAAAATACCCATGCCACATGAAAAATGCCTTTCCTTCTTTTTCTCATGTCTAATTCGAGGGATCGACCGTGAAAATGATCATTACCTTTACAAATAGATTAGCTTTTCATGTATGGATTTGCGAAAAAAAAAGTTGTCATTAATTTAAGTCCCGAGGCTGTTGAGCTAAAAGTAGGATTATTTTTAATTATTGATTATCATCGGCAAAGGAATTTCTGGCGATTGATGTGAAATAAGACATTCATTTTCATTCGTTGACAGATTTTTCAAAACGAGATGTGGGTAAAAAGAAAATGCTAATTAGCAGCAACAGCACACAAAGTAGATAAAGAATGTGGAAGATTTATGAAAATATTCAGTTTGTGGTGACATGCGAAGAATTTTTGAAAAAGTTCGAAAGATAGAGACAGTGGAAGCGAAAAATAATGCAGAGAAAATAGAGTTTAGAGTAAAAACCCATTAAAATGCTGAATCAGCTATTTGTTAGCCTTAAAGGTTCTGGAAATTTTTGCAACTCCAGCAGATTATAGTTCCTTATGTGCTATAAATTAATTAAGATCTTTAAATCTGCGTGATTTACCTAACATTCATGCTCATCTTTTCGATTTAATTCACGAAAGATCCGACTCAGGTTCGAGTAAACAATTTTAATTATGTGATTTGATATTAAAAACAGACAAAATTTTCATTTTATACTGCTACTATTTGAATCTTTATTTACTTCCTTCTTACACTTTATTAGACTCAATTTTATATCTCTTGTGGGAAGATTATTACTCTTTTCACTTTATTCTCTAATAATTATTTTAATCACTTAAATAATTACACTCATATAAACTGTTTCTTTTTCTCACTTACTCCTCAGGTATTAGCTCTTTTTGAAGAACATGAGGGTATTGAAGCATTCGTAGAACCATTTGTAATTTTACTTATTTTAATTGCTAATGCTGTCGTCGGTGTGTGGCAAGTGAGTATAAATCAAAGCCAAAAATTATTTTAAACAATTTTGCTGATTTTCATTCATCCATATTCAAGGAACGTAATGCAGAATCAGCTATTGAGGCCCTTAAAGAATACGAGCCCGAAATGGGTAAGGTTGTTCGTCAAGACAAAAGCGGTGTCCAAAAGCTCCGCGCCAAGGAAATTGTTCCAGGTGATATCGTTGAGGTGTCAGTCGGTGACAAAATTCCAGCTGATATTCGTTTAATTAAGATCTACTCAACCACAATTCGTATTGATCAGTCAATCTTGACTGGTGAGTCAGTATCCGTTATTAAGCACACAGATGCCGTTCCAGATCCACGCGCTGTCAATCAAGACAAAAAGAATATCTTGTTTTCTGGTACTAACGTTGCTGCTGGTAAAGCACGTGGTATTGTTATTGGTACAGGATTAAACACAGCTATTGGTAAAATTCGTACTGAAATGTCAGAAACTGAGGAAATTAAGACTCCATTGCAACAAAAGCTTGACGAATTCGGTGAACAATTGTCAAAGGTCATCTCAATCATTTGCGTTGCTGTCTGGGCTATCAACATTGGACATTTTAACGATCCAGCTCATGGTGGTTCATGGATTAAGGGAGCTATCTATTATTTCAAAATTGCCGTTGCTCTTGCCGTCGCTGCTATTCCAGAAGGTTTGCCAGCTGTCATTACAACATGTTTGGCTTTAGGTACACGTCGTATGGCCAAAAAGAATGCTATTGTTCGTTCATTGCCATCCGTTGAAACTCTTGGTTGCACATCCGTTATTTGCTCAGATAAGACTGGTACATTGACAACAAATCAAATGTCTGTTGCACGCATGTTTGTCTTTGACAAGATTGAAGGAAATGACAGTAGCTTCACAGAATTCGAAATAACTGGATCAACATACGAGCCAATTGGTGATCTCTTCTTGAAAGGAGGTAAAGTAAAGGCCTCAGACTATGACATTCTTCAGGAACTTGGAACAATTTGCGTCATGTGTAACGACTCAGCTATTGATTTCAATGAAGTCAAACAAGCATTCGAAAAAGTTGGTGAAGCCACAGAAACTGCTCTCATTGTCCTTGCCGAAAAATTGAATCCATTCGCCGTACCAAAGACTGGTTTGGACCGTCGTTCAGCTGCCATTGTTGTTCGTCAAGAAGTTGAAACCAAATGGAAGAAAGAATTCACTCTCGAGTTCTCACGTGATCGTAAATCCATGTCCTCATACTGCACACCATTGAAATCATCACGTCTCGGAACCGGACCAAAGATGTTCTGTAAGGGTGCCCCAGAAGGTGTCTTGGAACGTTGTACACACGCTCGTGTTGGAACTAGCAAAGTCCCACTTACCTCAGCTCTTAAAAACCGCATCTTGGAACTCACTCGTCAATACGGTACCGGACGTGATACACTCCGTTGCTTGGCTTTGGCCACAGGAGACTCACCAATGGTAAGTTATTATTGACACGTTATTAATTCACTATATGTCCAATTTCATAACATAATCTCTTCTTTGCAACATTTAGAAACCAGAAGACATGGACTTGAATGACTCAAATAAATTCTACACTTATGAAGTCAATCTTACATTCGTCGGTGTTGTTGGTATGCTTGATCCACCACGTAAGGAAGTTTTCGATTCAATCGTTCGTTGTCGTGCTGCTGGTATTCGAGTTATTGTCATTACTGGTGATAACAAGGCTACAGCTGAAGCTATTTGCCGTCGTATTGGAGTTTTCGGTGAAGATGAAGACACAACTGGAAAATCATACTCAGGACGTGAATTCGATGACTTACCACTTCATGAACAAAAGCAAGCCGTTGCACGTGCTCGTCTCTTCTCTCGTGTAGAACCTTCTCACAAATCAAAGATTGTTGAATTCTTACAAGGCATGAATGAAATCTCTGCTATGACTGGTGATGGTGTCAATGATGCTCCAGCTTTAAAGAAGGCTGAAATTGGTATTGCTATGGGTTCAGGTACAGCTGTCGCTAAATCTGCATCAGAAATGGTCCTCGCTGACGATAACTTCTCATCCATTGTCGCTGCCGTTGAGGAAGGTCGTGCTATCTACAACAACATGAAACAATTTATCCGTTATCTTATTTCATCAAACATTGGTGAAGTCGTCTCAATTTTCTTGACTGCCGCTCTTGGCTTACCAGAAGCTCTCATTCCCGTTCAATTGTTGTGGGTCAATTTGGTGAGTCTTTTTGTGCCTTTATTATTAAATATCTTTTATTCTGCAAGGATATAAGTTTTTAAAAATCTTTATCACTACGGCTTTTGACCAAATGTTACAATATTGTTGTGCTTAAAAGTTTACCTTTGAGTTTGTGCGTTGCTAGAAATTTATTTAATTATTGTACTTATCTAGGTTACTGATGGTCTCCCAGCCACAGCTCTCGGTTTCAACCCACCTGATTTGGACATCATGAGCAAGCCACCACGTAAAGCTGATGAAGGCTTGATTTCTGGATGGTTGTTCTTCAGATGTATGTAATTGAACGTTGATAAATTGAACTTTTACTTACTATCATATCTATCTTTTTTTCTCCATCCTTCTGCGTGCTGTATGCTGTATATTTTTATTTGAAACAACCTGATCAACTTCATGTGGTGTGCTAAATCTTTTGGAACTCTCTAAAATGCTGGAAATTTAGATGTATGCATTTTAATCTCTTGAATGGTGAGCTTTTATTAATCTGTTAATTTGTTTTGTTCTTTCTTCCATACTTCTGCGACTTGCTGTATGCTGATTTGCTGGATGTTGATATTAACGTCGATTTGTTTGAAATGATGCAACTTGTTCTTTAACATCTAATTTTGTGATATGTTATGCAACTTGTTCAACTTTTTTGAACCTTTTTTGATTGGATGTGATGCAATATGATGTCTGATGTTACTTGATTATGTTGGATATGCTGTAAACTACCGCGCAGATGAGTATAGGAATGTATGTTGGTAAGTGACTAGTTCCAATCATTTTTTTTAATTCCTTAACGCTTAAATATCAAACTAGAGTCATTGGTGAAGTTACAAACCTTAAACTATTACATATACATATATACATAGATTTAAACCTCTCTTTCCCTGGTTTAAGGATCTTTGTGGATCCAATGACTCTAATAAGCCTTAAATTGAATCTCAATCGACTTGACTTATGCTTACCCTAATAATTAAATAATATATGCCAAAGCAATGATGTTGTTCAAAACTCGCCAGCGTGGAGGCAACGACTCTTAAGCTTCTTGGTTTTGTTTAAGCATTGATCTTTCTGCTACTGTACAAAGGAAGCTTTACTTTTCTACTTCCTGGGGTCTTCAAATATCATCTGCATATTTTGGTTGACCCCAAACCTATAAGTGCCTTCTATGGCCATAAATATATAAAAAAAAAATATAGAAAGTCGTTTAAAAAAAAAATAAAAAAAAAACTAAACTTCAACCGAGACTTTCGGTTACAAATTTTTTTACACGCTTTTTTCTTCCCTTCGTTTTTTTGGAAAATAATTATCAGCAACCATATTAATATTACACACTTCTTTTAAAAAAACAATCTCGAGTCTTATAATCATCTACACTTGATTTAATTTGATTTACAAGACTGTATAAAGGACAGGTAATGTGAAAAACATTAAAAAAAAAACAAAGAAATTTAAAACACATTTAAATTTTAATTTTAATTGGAAATTAATAGCAGCAACAACATGTCTTGGCCAGTATATGAGGAACTGCCAACAAAGGTAGAAGTGTCAAATCTTCTGGACAACTTCCTGCAAGAGAATCCGCATTTTGATGGGCAGATAAAGGTGGGCAAGACATTTATCGAAACCATTTTTCCCCCTCCAACAACAAATGATGAATTCATTGCGCCCAGATACGCTGCAACAGATGAATATGAAAGTTTGTCAGGAGATAATATTCTTTGCTGATGTAAAAATGAGACATTAGCATTGGATGTGGAAAAGTTGACACAAATGGAGGCAAAAAAGCGAGGCATCCTGATCGATCGGCTGAAAGTGGCATGAGCGGCAGCAGATATGCTTATGTTGTGTACGTGACAAAAAGGAAGCCTTTGAGCAACATGTGTCTTTTGTGTGAAAAATATTACGAAGACAGGCATAAGGCATAGCATTTGCAGCATCGACACGCTCAAGAGATCAAAGCTTTGACCGACTACGTTGCTCAATTCAACAAGGCAGACGAGGATGACAATATGCATAAGGAAAAAGTATTATCTTTCCTCTCTTGGATGCAATCAGCTCCGCAAGCCTCAACGTCATCAAAAGAAAAGAAGGCCACAACATCATCAGCAACAACATCAACATTTGCCCTTAAGCTGAAAAAGAAGGAAACTCCAATCATCATTTCTGATGATGACGACGATGACATCACAGTGACAAAAGCACGAAAAAGGCAAAAAACTATGGATTCGTCGAGTGATGAGGAGATGAAAAATGAGAAGAAGGAAGCAGCAAAAACACGGCCAACGCCTTTGTTCTCTTTCTTTGCTCTTAAAAAGAAACTTCCCGTCTCCGAAATCCAGCAAAGACCCACATTAAAGTCAAGAGACTTTAATGTTTGAAGTAAATTTACTTCGCATAATTGGTTTGGGGTGAGCCAAGTTTCATTTAGTGGCTCAAAACCCTCGGTTGAAGTTTAGTTTTTTTTATAAAGTCCACGAAGGCGATTATGATGTCAAGAAAAAACGACTTTCTATATGTTTTTATATATTTATGGCCATAGAAGGCATTTAAAGGTTTGGGGTCAACCAAAATATGCAGATGATATTTGAAAACTCCAGGAAGTAGAAAAGTAAAGCTTCCTTTGTACAGTAGCAGAAGGATCACTGCTTAAACAAAACCAAGAAGCTCAAGAGTCGTGCCTCCACGTTGGCGAGTTTTGGGCAATGTCAATAGATGGCAAAATTGGCTCGAAAAAGCTAGAAAAAATGAACTTAGCATTAATCAGTCTATTGAGATTCTTTTCACTGGTTTTTTATCATCATCTTTTATTACAATTCATTTAATCCTTTCTTTTCCATTCATGTAGGTGCTGCAACAGTCGGAGGTGCTACATGGTGGTTCATGTATAGCTCTACTGGGCCAGGGCTCTCTTTTTGGCAATTATCTCACCAGTAAGTATGCAGCACATAGCAGCTCGTAACATCAAATTCAATAAATTTGCCACAAAAAAAAAATTTGACTTTAAAATACATAAAACATGCTTTAGAATTTATTTAATTTTATGTTACTATGAACCATTCAAAAAAACAGTCATTCCATTGATTTAATGAAAATATTAGTGTCAAGTGAAATATCCACAAAAAAAAAACTTAATTTGTTATTAATACATCTTTTTTCCAGTCTCCAATGCATAGGAGGAGGAGATGACTTCAAGGGAGTCGATTGCAAAGTTTTCTCAGCACCAGAACCAATGACAATGGCTTTGTCAGTTCTCGTCACAATTGAAATGTTGAACGCCATGAACAGGTGAGCACAAACAAATTTGACCTTTTTGAACATTTTCATTACAGTCTTTAAGTGTTGAAATATATCAAATTTCGTCACATACATGAGATATAGCAGCCCCAAAATAACTTTCAACATGCAAAATTACTAATCATTTTCATAATTTCACAGCTTGTCAGAAAATCAATCTCTCGTTAAAATGCCACCATGGACAAATATGTGGTTGGTCGGATCAATGTGCTTGTCATTCGCTCTTCATTTCGTCATCTTATACGTTGAGGTTCTTTCTGTAAGTCACAGAATACTAATTCTTATCATTCAAAAATGCAATTGCTAATGAAATGTCTTTTCAGGGAGTCTTCCAAGTCACACCATTGGGTATTGATGAATGGTTGGTTGTAATGAAGTTCTCAATTCCAGTAGTGCTGTTGGATGAAGTGCTCAAATTAGTAGCCAGACGAATTTCTGATGGTGAGAGTTATTTGAAAACAATGCATTACCTAGTGTTAGTGTGGGCCGTGTTCCTTGGCTTAATCATTTGGGGTCCATTTTAAATGAACAAAAAAAAAAAATGATAATGCAACAATCATTAAACCACATTAAATTATGATGGATTCCAAATATGAAGAAATTACTTTAGCTGATAAACTACTTTAGCATAAAGAAGACCCTTTGTTTTAAATTATTTTTGAGTACCATTTAGTTTTTTTCTTCTTGTGAAAGCTTTACTTGAATTTACTTTATTCTTTTCAAACATTTTTTTTTTCTTTCCTAATTTAACAATAATTTACTACATTTATGATTTTATGTGTTTTTTGAAAGAGCTTTATATTTTTATTATTTTTTACTAATTCTTAAACAATTTATTTAAAAAATTATGAGAAAAATTCAAAAATGGAAAAACAACAATAAAATCTCAAAAATGTTATACTTTGAGTATATAGATAAAGAATACCCACCACCAAATAGAGTTCATGAATGGAAAAATGAATAATGAAATAAATAAATTAACATACAATTTGATAAACATAAATCTGATAGCAATGTTGACGCACTAATTTACAAACATTTTTTTTGGTATATTGAAAATAACAACCTTTTTTTGTGGTGTATTGAGATACTTTATAGAAACATTTTTGATAAGCACTCTGATAAAAGAAAATCTCACAGAAAGTCAATGAGAATGAATTAATAATTTCTTATATGTAGCCTTCAGTTATTCAGAATTGAGGATAACTCATGATTAGTTAATGTTAAACTTATCCATAAATTGCATATTAAACATCCATAAAACTACACATATACACACAAATTCGGTTTAAATAGTCATATACATTATTCATTTGATGAATTTCTTTAGCAAAATCGTCGAAAAAAAAAAACTAGAAACTTATATTTTAATCATTATTCAGTGACTGACGCTGATTGGATTCTGAGATTTAAATGTTCTGTGAAAACTCTACAACAGCTAGAATATTCAAAGATAATTTGAATTTGTAATGTTTTGTGAACCTTACAACATCTAGTATTTTTCAAATCTTCTGAAATTGTTCCGTTTTCAGAAGCATATCTACCAATCACACTCAGTCGCTAATATTTATTTAAATTAATGATAATAAAGTAAAAACTTTGGTTGTGGTTAAGTTGGACGTGCATTTAAGTTGATTTTTTAGTATTTTCGTTCTTTCGTCTAGAATATTTTTTTTTTGTAGTATATAAATTGTAATTGGACAAATTTAAAAGAAGAAATCTTTTCAACGACTTTACTAGTGATTTTTTATTCTCTTTTTTTACTACTTACTTCTTTGTTTAAGTTATGTTGAATCGAAGTTTGTTTCGCGATAAATCGTGATGTGTGTAGTATATAAAAACTGAATTGTTAATCTGAGCAAGAAATTGTACTGAATGCTAAATTAATTGATATCTAACAATAAAAAAATGAGAGAATGAAGATGTAGGAGAAAAATAAATAAATTAATAAAAAAAATTAGACACCACCAATGAAGCTGATGTAAGTGTACATATGAGAAAATATGAAAAATTATTAAATTGAGAAAATGAATAATTGTTGATATTTTAGTTTCTTGCAATAACTTAATGAATTAAATAGGCAGATTAATGTTAAGGAGATGTAAAAACAAAATCAGGCATTAGGGAAACAAAACAAAAACAAAAAAAAATCTAAATTACTTCTACATGAATTTCATGTTATAATTTTTAAGTATTATAAAGTCGACTTGAATAAAAAAAAATTAAGGCATTAATTGACAGAATTGAACAAACAAGAAAAAACTACTTGGACAGATCTTTAGAATGCGAATGGGATACATTTGATGAATTTGGGTGCCACCTTGCTTCGTATGAATCTTTACTTTTTGTTTTCTTAGTTAATTTGAAAAGTGCCTGTGAAAGTCATTAAAATTATGATGAGAAAAATTACCATTTTGAATTCTGATGTGGCAGATACTTAAAAATTCATCCACCCTCCTCGACATAAGTTCATATTTTAACCGTAATGAAAGTCCAACTAAATTATATCACGAAATCAAATTACATATGGAAAAAATTTCTTTAATTTAAGTATGAAAAGGATTCTAAACTCAGTTCGTTCGTAGTTAATGCTGCACATATTGAAAAAAAAAATTCTAATATTTAAAATTTAAATATTTTATCTAGTAAGTCTCTAGCTTTGAAATGTTTTAAATTGAAACAAAAAACTTCTTCTCTTACCACAATCGTAATCGTCTTAAACACTAATATTTAGTAGCTATATTTTATTGGTAATAAATATCACTTAAAATTGTTTTATTGCATTCGGGGCGGTAAAATATTTTCAAATGAAAGTTTTACAGACCATTGGATGAAGAAATATGTGATTAAAAAAATTCTTCGTTCAATTTTTGTTTATAAATTTTTAATTAATGGAATGCCACACTGTTTTGAGCTTCAGAAATAAATTTCTTCGCTTTAATTCAATTTCTATTAAGACATGAAAAATATTCACATTTGGTTTTTTCAATAATCTTAATTAAACGTTTTTGAGAGATTACGCATACCTAATTTTATGAATTACACGTGATTCAGAGTTGGTTGAAGCTCATGCTAATCATTCACATTTGGACAAAAAAAAATCCGCCCTCGACTTCACATTCAAAATTTATATTATTGATGATTATAATTCAACGTGTTTATATGGCATAGTTAATGCAAATTTATTCTCGTTTTAAAAAAAGAACCCTTATATAACATGAGAAGAAAAGTACGACTGTTCGATTTTAAATTCTACTTTAATGATATCTAATATTACGAAAAAGAAAGAACACTATACACTTACTATTATTGAGATAAACATATTTAATCTTTTAAGTTTTCAAGTCATACACGGTAAAGTTTTAAAAATAATAAATTTGAAGTTTGCGGAGAATGTTTTTTGTACGCGAAGTTATTAAAATCAATCAATCCAATCCTCCAATTATCAAAAAATAAATAAATAAAATAAAGTAATGTAGAAATAATTCACAACCATAAATATATGAAAAACAATAGTTTGTAATGATGAAAAACAAGAAAACAATTAAACTAAAAATGAAAAATGAATTTTAAAGCCAAAAATAGATTTTATGCAGTTTTATTAACCTCAATTTTATATCGTTTTACCTATTAACAGCATTTTTTGATTCCATATTAACAAAAATAATTAGCTCAAGTAGTGGCAGCTTTATTCATTAAACAAATATAAATTTTTTGCAACATTCGACATTCCAATTAAATAAAAAGAAGCATTTTAAAACCTTCTGGAAAAGGTTTTTGATCATTAATCATCATTTAATTAATATTAACCATCCACCAATCATCCGTAATCAGAAGCAATTTATATCAATAAAATCGATAATGTTCAGTAGTGACAGAAACAAAGTGAGTGTGTTATGCTTTTATGCATGATGTAAGTATCATCAAATCAATTTTTTTTGCTTTCACCTTTTTTTGATACTAAATAATGTTTTTGATATCTAATTAATATTTATTAAGAATGACAATATTTAAACGGCAAATATTAGGAAATTTCATAATCTGAAAAGTAAATTCAAACGTTTAAAAACCTTACAAATTCATTGATTTTTAATCGGACATCCAATTAATAATTTCAACTTTCTAAACTGAAATTTCCCAATAAAAGTTTGAATGTCATTTTTAATCAACTTAAAAATTTCGAAACTTATTCGTCCATATAACAAAATTTCTCTAAAAATAATAATAATCTGTGTTGAGTTTTAGTTTTCTTTGTTCCGTTTTGGCCAGTGATTTATGATTGCTACTTTTTTGTTTCTCTTATAATCCAAAAAAAAAAAAATATTTTTATTCCAATTTTTCTATTTATTTTTTATAAAGGTAACCCCGAATTTCATTAAAAAAACCCACCTTCGAAGATAATATTTAAATGTCCTACTGCCATTTACCAAAAACACTTATACCTCCATAAGTTCCATGATAATAATAAACCCTATCGAAAAAAAACAAGCATTTTATAACTACCAAGGTTGACCAGCTGTGGATTGTGGGATATGAATCAGACATTTGCACACCTACCCGCACCATCTCCCTATCTAATAATAAAAATTAAGCTTTTGGGTCAATTGAAAATTGATTTACTTAATTTATTAATATCCACAAAATTACCATCTACACCAACCAACCACCAAACAAATTATATATTGACAAATGTTTTCATCCGAAAAGTAAATCCAATTTCTTTTTATTATTTCATATTTTTTTTCCATAGATTTGTAGATGAAATGGAAATTATTTTTAACCAAAATGTTTATAGATTTGTAGAATAGCTTTTTATTTTACTAGCTCAATAGAATCTTTAACACTTATTTATACAGAATTTTTGTACTTTTAAAGTGATTTGAAAATCATTCAAAAAGTATGATAAGCTTACTTTTGAGGAAGTGGAGTTTTTTGATAGTCAAAATAAATATTCACAACGATAAACTACCAAAATATCTAGTTTTAATGATCATATCGAGCATGTAACAAATCTTCAATTTTTAAAGTCACCTCGATTGTTTTCTAATTTGTCACACCAAATAACTTTATAAAAGAATTCTAAACCTTGACTAGAGTTTCGTCAATTGATGCGAGATCCAAACCATCATCGATACTCAAATTCGTGTAATCTTCCAAAAGTTATCGATTAAATTTCACTTTTATCTGCTACACAAGCAAACTTCATTTTCAAAAGAGTTTCATTTTATTATTTTAAAATTAAAATTGAGCCACTTTTACGCAAATTATCTAAATTGTTGCTAAACTCAGCTATTCAATTGCTATTAATTACCAAGATATGAAAGAGATCCGACAAAAGTTCCTCACGATTTTCTCCAAAATAGAAATGAGATGTAATTGAAACGAGTTTAGACCACCGAAACAATTTCTTCACCTTTCAAGAAATTCCTTCGATTTTTTATCTAATTTCAAACAAAATATTTCGGACATGTTTTGACAAAAAAAAGTAAAATAAAATAGAAACAAGAATATTATGTAGAAAGTCTGTCAGTAAACCTTCAGTTATTACTAAAAAGATGATCCCTAGTGAGTCTTCGTAATTAAGTTGCATACTTAAAAAGATATTTGACTATTAAAGAACTTTACAACTCATGCTATAAATGTATATGATATGTTTATGATACAACTTTTATTAATTGATTCTTTTTATTTTCTTATTTTTTTTTCTCTTTCTCTTTTTTTTCATCTTAAATTATTTCAGTCAATGAGAGAGTTATTGATAAATGGAATTAGGACATATGAAATTACATCATCTTACAAAAAAAAAAATAATTAAAAATACAAACAACAACAACAAAAAAATTGAAATAAAGAAATCAATAAAATGACATCTACAAAAAAAAACCTTAAAAAAATTCATTGTTATCACAGCATTCAAATGAGCTTTTATTGTTTCTAGTTGTTTGGATGCTCCGTTGATTAAAATTTTATTGAAAGTTAACCCAATAATAAATGAAAAGAATAGTTTAATGATAAAATGACATCTGCATAATAAGGATAACGAAAGAATTTTTCGAAATGAAAATAATAAAAAAAAACTTAATTAAAAAAGAGAAATAAAAGATTTTTTTGAAATTTTAATGAACCTTTCCAACTCAGAACAAGAAAAATAATTTTGAAAAATCTCCACCCAACCCTCAACTTAAAGTGTGTAAGAACCGACATTATATTGATGAAGTTCCTCCCCCTTTTTGTGCAAAAAAAAATAACTCCATCAAATTTGTAAAAGTCATATAAGAAGTATAAACGTGCAGATCGAATAAATTGTAGATATTTTGTTGATTAACTTATAGCGTTTTTAATAATATATAAATTTATGATGATGATTCAAATTCTCTGTTCTTTTTTTATTATTATTTTAAAAATATATTAATGCAGTGTTCCTCATAATTATTACATATATAGTTTTTCTCTCTTTTGACAAGAAGCTAAAAAGTCGGGAATTTGAGGTTATTGGAGAACGGGCATTTTGAATTCAAAAAAAACATAACCGACATTTAAAATTCAAAAGTGTCAAACATTTGTAGGGTTTTGTGGTTAAATTTCAAATAAATTACGTTCGTTAAACATTTAAATTTAATCTGTCCGTTAAAATGTTTCAAGTCACGACTTTCGTAAATACTTCCAATGACTTGAAATTCCTGCAACAATGTTATTAGTATATTCTTTCATCACGTACATAATTAATTTTAATTTATTGATTCATTAGAAGCAAAGAATTCTGTTGATCAAGTTCTTCTTCAAATTTATGAATAAATGAGAAATTTTTATTTGAAAAACTCATAAGAAATTATTTTTAAAATTAGTTAACCTGAATATTGCCAAGTTCGAAAAAAGAAGATATTTAAATATTAAAATAGGAAGTTGAGAGTATGTAGAGAAACCAGCACACAAACACACATGGCACTTTCTATTAATTGACAGCCAATTTTTTCATTTCGAACTGATTAAAAAGATATTAAAGAAAAAAAAATCAAAAAATTGTTCATGCGGACTAAATTGCAGAAAGAATTAATCATAGAAAAAATGAGATCAACAAAACAAATTATCTTTAATTATCTTAAGGGCGACATTAGAGTAAAGAGCGAGACGATATGATTAAAAAATTGAAAATCTTTTTTTGGAAGTTCACGCAACACTTCGAAGAACTTTTTTTTTTCCAACATAAATCATGGAAAATTTTGCAAAAAGTTGATTCTTTTTCAATCCAAAAAAAGTTATAACCAATAAAAAATTTGAATGAAATTGACTCGAGACTCTTTCCTTCTTTTTAAAACATTTTTTCAGATTGTCATCAAATAATATCTAGGGCAATGGAAATACTGGATGGGTTGAAAATGTTTTCTTTTGTGGGAACTTTAGCCGTTTAGCGTTCTTTTATAATTAAACTTTTGTTTAATTCAGTTTAATTTAGTTTCTTTTTCAATATGTTCATTCTATCGATTCCGATAAATATAAAATCTTACAACCATAAGGACATTTTGCCAATTTACGATCGTGAATTTACACGATATGCAAATCCAATCTGATTTTTTTCTGTTGATACTCTTTTTAAAGAATTTTTTGAATAAAAATATTTTTCAGAATCAGGCACCAAAATGAATAAAAAAAAATCTGTGATGAAAAACATCATTATTTTTGATGATGAAAAAATATATGATTTTTTTCATTTACGTAAATTATTACGTAAAATTTCATCAAGTAAGAATCATTTTTACGTAGGATTTCATCACGTAAAACAAAAAATGAAAAAAAATCACACCAAATGAATTAATAATGCTAAATAATAAGAACAAGAGATGGAATAGATTTTGCTTAAAAAACTTGTGAAGAAACATTTTATACGTCATTTTTTGCTCTACGTGATGAAATCCTACGTAAAAATGATTCTTACGTGATGAAACTTTACATAATAATTTACGTAAATAAAAAAAATTATAATGTTATTCATCATCAAAAATAATGATGTTTTTCATCACAGATTTTTTTCATTCATTTTGGTCCCTGTTCAGAATAAATCAATTAGAACAGTCTAATTAATTCTTAGTTTTAAAAAATTATGACTTATTTCTTCAAAAGTAGCTTTTTATATATTTTTACATTTGCTTGTTCATCATTTAAATTTCCAGTTCTAATGTGACATAAAAAAAATCAGATTTTCACTCATTTTCAGCTTCAAACAGCCACAGATTCGCAATAATTGCACCAAATGACCTAAAATTTGGCATAGAAGTCAATTTTATGCCCTCTACAAGAAAAAATCCACTTCAGATCGAAACATTACCGTTTTCGAAGTGAAAGACCCTTTTTTCAATTTTACCCCATAATGCATTTATAACTTCATATATCTCACGTCTAACTTTCTCATGAAGATAGAATTGTTAATATGAAACAATAATCAATTAGAAAATCTATAAAATTCTGGATGGATTCTGGCTTTAAGCTTAATATTGTTTCAATTTGTTTTGAAAGATCTTCTTCAGAAGGAACATCGTCATAACGTTTAAGGGTCACTATAATACTATTAAAAATGAAGGATGAATTTTTAATATTGAGCGAATATATCTATATTATCTTTTCTTTTTAAAACCTTTTTTTCAGATTGTCATCCAATAAATTAATTATTCCATTTTATTTAAACAAAAGAAAAACAAGGAAGGATTAAACATTAAGTAATAAATAATTTGTAGCAGAGGAAAATTTTGGTTTAGAGTTTCTACGTGCACACAGCATCTCATTTCATTTAGGAATTTAGCATCCTTTATAATTATCGTCTAGTAAGCCTGAGGAGTTGCAGAGTTTGAAGATGAGCTTGATGATGAACTACCTGAGGCAGCTGATGAAGATGGCTGTGAGGCTGATGACGCATATGATGAGCTTGAACTTGGGCTATAGTATGAGCTGTATGCTAGATTGTGTGATGATCCAGCAGCTGATGGCTCCCATGCAGACGTTCTATAGGCATAATTTGAGTTACTTGGTGCTGGCTCCCATGCAGCTGGTCCATAAGAAGTATCAGGGGTAGCTGGAGTTGTCATTGGATCAGTTGGCATCATCGGCATCATTGACATTGGCATTCCTAAACCTGTTTTCTTCACTAATTGTGCAATCAAGAATCCAAGAACAATTGTAATTGCTAATTTTGACAAGATCAATGCTTTCATTGCCTTCAATCCGATAATTGCGACAAAGATTGGCAAAAGAGCCTTCATTTTCAGTTTCAACAACAATAAAACGGGGAAAAGAAGCTTCTTTTTGAGTAATCCACGAGCAGCTAGTTGTGAAGTTAAGATAAAAATTATTTTCAGGCACTAATTTAAAAATATTTCCAGTTTCTCACCTTCTGGCTTTTCTGACACTTTGAATCCAAGTCCACGATCAGCACGGTAAGTAGCAACAACATCACCAAAGATAATTTTTGGTAATTCAACTTTAATCTCATTGCTATTCAATATTCTTGACACACGATCATAAATCACTTTATCAATATTCTTTGACTCAAATGAGCGCGCTTCCTCTGATTTCATTCCAAGCACTGTATCGAGGTATGTCAATACTTTTGATTTAAGACATGACATTCCATTAATTTCAAAGCAATCGTTGACAACTGAAGCAATCAACTCTTCGCCTGAATAAATTCTTGGCGTTTCTGTAATCTCATTTGTTCTAAGCGAGGCACAATTAGCTGTTACGAAAAACAGTCCAAGAACTAAGAATCGATACATATCTTAAGAGTTTATTTTATTATTTATTGTACACCCTCGAATTTCTTTCTTGTGAATGTGACTATTTACACGTCAACATGTATGCACTGGTTAATTGACGATCTGATTATGATATTAAAGTGTTTAAAATTCGTTATTTTATACTACCGCTCCCATGAATTGTAAAAAAGCAATTCAATTTCATTTCTTTCGGTTATCACTCCGAGTTATTTATTTTTATATTCTTCATTTTACCTCCTTCAACAGTTTAGCTTCTACATTCAGAAAATGTTTGTGACAGTTTGACTTTACAAGAAGCTCGAATTTTAAGCCACATTGAACTCAACTTTGTCAAAAGGCTGTTAAGTATTTACGCGAATGATTTCCTTTATTTTCATTTATTGACTGACAAAAATCTGTTGGGAATAATTCACAATTTTCTATAGTTAAGTGCTTAATACATTTTGGATGTGAACTATGTTCAACTATAATCAAGCATCTAAATATCAAATCTAAGTTTCGAGTAATTTAGGCTCTATAAGCATAACATGATACTTACAGCCCGTTTTATCAATATTTTCATTCATAAGGTAATCCTTAAAGCTCTCGTTCCATTTTTTCGGCTACACAAAATGGCACATGCTGGATCTCGGGAACTAAGCATGACCAAAAAGTTTTGATTGATGACCTAAAATAACCTATATTAGGACAATATTCAGGCTGAGTTTCAAGTCGATTGGACATATCCTGCCCGCGTACTTTCAGGACACTTCCAATTTCTCTTACTACACTTCAATTTCCTGACCCGTCCCTCAATTCAATGTTGTTCAAAGGTATCAATACTTGTTAAGAGCTCCAATTTCGTATTGATCTTGGAGCATCGAGGATTCGAAGTATCCAAATTATTATTCCATAGAGGCACATATGTACTCAATTATCTTTTGATCAGTTTCGCACCCATGCAAGAGTCTTTATAAACTAGAAATCAAAGAAACTCAAAGCTATTTATTCAGAGAACTGCAGAAAACATTAAAACTTACAAGAAAAGTGCGCTGCATTCATCCCATATTCATACCTTACTACGTAAAAATTGTTTACAGAATTTACTCCATTCGACACTATGGCAAAGCAACTACAACAAGTGTAGTATTGTACGAAAACAAACGAGCATTTCGTTTTTCGTCAATAAAAGCAACAGTATTTTTTACATTAGAAATTTTTTGATCATGACTTAATATCCATGTCACGTAATCCATAAAGTTGTATTCATTTCTTCTAGTTATGACGTATACTCCATTAAGTGTATGCGTTCTGGAATTTAAAACATTGAGGTCCTGGATAAAAGAACAATTAATTTATGGACTCGCGATGATCATCTTCATTTAGCTAGGCGTTGATTGGAAACGAATTGAACAAATTTTCATTTAAAAAATGCGGATATACACAATTTACTTCCATAATAAAAAAAAATCTAATTTGGACTTGCATATGCTTCTTTTATTATTGAAAAATTATGTTAAGGTGTTGCGAGCTTCATATTTAAACAGATTGGCACAGATTTTACATCCTGTAGTATTCACTTCGTTTTTAATAAATTAAAAGTACGAAAGAAACATAAATTTCAGTACTCAACTTTAGTAATCAACTGGATTGATTTTTCTGTAAAACCTAGAAAGCTGTACATGAGCTTCTTGGCATTGATTGTGATCAACTGCCAAATATTCACAAAATGACACCCACTGAACCACCATTCCAAATATTCCTAATATTCACAAAATGACACCCACTGAACCACCATTCCAAATATTCCTAATATTCACAAAATGACACCCACTGAACAACCATTCCAAAGATTCCTAATATTCACAAAATGACACCCACTGAACCACCATTCCAAATATTCCTAATATTCACAAAATGACACCCACTGAACAACCATTCCAAAGATTCCTAATATTCACAAAATGACACCCACTGAACCACCATTCCAAATATTCCTAATATTCACAAAATGACACCCACTGAACCACCATTCCAAATATTCCTAATCTTCACAAAATGACACCCACTGAACCACCATTCCAAATATTCCTAATATTCACAAAATGACACCCACTGAACCACCATACCAAATATTCCTAATATTCACAAAATGACATCCACTGAACCACCATACCAAATATTCCTAATATTCACAAAATGACACCCACTGAACCACCATTCCAAATATTCCTAATCTTCACAAAATGACACCCACTGAACCACCATTCCAAAGATTCCTAATATTCACAAAATGACACCCACTGAACCACCATTCCAAAGATTCCTAATATTCACAAAATGACACCCACTGAACCACCATTCCAAAGATTCCTAATATTCACAAAATGACACCCACTGAACCACCATTCCAAATATTCCTAATATTCACAAAATGACACCCACTGAACAACCATTCCAAATATTCCTAATCTTCACAAAATGACACCCACTGAACCACCATTCCAAATATTCCTAATATTCACAAAATGACACCCACTGAACCACCATTCCAAAGATTCCTAATATTCACAAAATGACACCCACTGAACCACCATTCCAAATATTCCTAATATTCACAAAATGACACCCACTGAACCACCATTCCAAATATTCCTAATCTTCACAAAATGACACCCACTGAACCACCATTCCAAATATTCCTAATATTCACAAAATGACACCCACTGAACCACCATTCCAAATATTCCTAATCTTCACAAAATGACACCCACTGAACCACCATTCCAAATATTCCTAATATTCACAAAATGACACCCACTGAACCACCATTCCAAAGATTCCTAATATTCACAAAATGACACCCACTGAACCACCATTCCAAATATTCCTAATATTCACAAAATGACACCCACTGAACAACCATTCCAAAGATTCCTAATATTCACAAAATGACACCCACTGAACCACCATTCCAAATATTCCTAATATTCACAAAATGACACCCACTGAACAACCATTCCAAATATTCCTAATATTCACAAAATGACACCCACTGAACAACCATTCCAAAGATTCCTAATATTCACAAAATGACACCCACTGAACCACCATTCCAAATATTCCTAATATTCACAAAATGACACCCACTGAACCACCATTCCAAATATTCCTAATATTCACAAAATGACATCCACTGAACCACCATACCAAATATTCCTAATATTCACAAAATGACACCCACTGAACCACCATTCCAAATATTCCTAATCTTCACAAAATGACACCCACTGAACAACCATTCCAAAGATTCCTAATATTCACAAAATGACACCCACTGAACCACCATTCCAAATATTCCTAATATTCACAAAATGACACCCACTGAACCACCATACAAAATATTCCTAATCTTCACAAAATGACACCCACTGAACCACCATTCCAAATATTCCTAATCTTCACAAAATGACACCCACTGAACCACCATTCCAAATATTCCTAATATTCACAAAATGACACCCACTGAACCACCATACCAAATATTCCTAATATTCACAAAATGACATCCACTGAACCACCATACCAAATATTCCTAATATTCACAAAATGACACCCACTGAACCACCATTCCAAATATTCCTAATCTTCACAAAATGACACCCACTGAACCACCATTCCAAATATTCCTAATATTCACAAAATGACACCCACTGAACCACCATTCCAAATATTCCTAATATTCACAAAATGACACCCACTGAACAACCATTCCAAAGATTCCTAATATTCACAAAATGACACCCACTGAACCACCATTCCAAATATTCCTAATATTCACAAAATGACACCCACTGAACCACCATACCAAATATTCCTAATATTCACAAAATGACATCCACTGAACCACCATACCAAATATTCCTAATATTCACAAAATGACACCCACTGAACCACCATTCCAAATATTCCTAATCTTCACAAAATGACACCCACTGAACAACCATTCCAAAGATTCCTAATATTCACAAAATGACACCCACTGAACCACCATTCCAAATATTCCTAATATTCACAAAATGACACCCACTGAACCACCATACCAAATATTCCTAATATTCACAAAATGACATCCACTGAACCACCATACCAAATATTCCTAATATTCACAAAATGACACCCACTGAACCACCATTCCAAATATTCCTAATATTCACAAAATGACACCCACTGAACAACCATTCCAAAGATTCCTAATATTCACAAAATGACACCCACTGAACCACCATTCCAAATATTCCTAATCTTCACAAAATGACACCCACTGAACCACCATACCAATTATTCCTAATATTCACAAAATGACACCCACTGAACCACCATACCAAATATTCCTAATATTCACAAAATGACACCCACTGAACAACCATTCCAAAGATTCCTAATATTCACAAAATGACACCCACTGAACCACCATTCCAAATATTCCTAATATTCACAAAATGACACCCACTGAACAACCATTCCAAAGATTCCTAATATTCACAAAATGACACCCACTGAACCACCATTCCAAATATTCCTAATCTTCACAAAATGACACCCACTGAACCACCATACCAATTATTCCTAATATTTACAAAATGACACCCACTGAACCACCATACCAAATATTCCTAATATTCACAAAATGACACCCACTGAACAACCATTCCAAAGATTCCTAATATTCACAAAATGACACCCACTGAACCACCATTCCAAATATTCCTAATATTCACAAAATGACACCCACTGAACAACCATTCCAAAGATTCCTAATATTCACAAAATGACACCCACTGAACCACCATTCCAAATATTCCTAATCTTCACAAAATGACACCCACTGAACCACCATACCAATTATTCCTAATATTCACAAAATGACACCCACTGAACCACCATACCAAATATTCCTAATATTCACAAAATGACACCCACTGAACAACCATTCCAAAGATTCCTAATCTTCACAAAATGACACCCACTGAACCACCATACCAAATATTCCTAATATTCACAAAATGACACCCACTGAACCACCATACCAAATATTCCTAATATTCACAAAATGACACCCACTGAACAACCATTCCAAAGATTCCTAATATTCACAAAATGACACCCACTGAACCACCATTCCAAATATTCCTAATATTCACAAAATGA